TCCCCCCCCCCCCACCCCTCAAGATTAGACATGCTTTGTATTTTCCTAAACAATGAAGTTATAGGGCCTGTTCACATGATATCAGGTCCTGATCAGGTGCGGATCTGCAGACGCAGTGATACTTGGTGAGTTTTTGATGCGTTCCAGTGGGGCTGTCAGTATGTTATCCACAGTGCGTTTGACGCGTTTTCGGACCGCTTCCTGACCGGACAAAATGTGACATGCAGTATTTTTCCTGCCGTAAGCCGAACGGACTGCGCACGTGAGAACTGTAGCCCATAAAACACACAGGGATACATTTTTAGTGCAGGAGCGTACGGATCTGGTCAGCACAGAAAACGGACGTCGTGTGAACAGGCCCATAAAGGCAGGGGTAGGCAACGTCAGGACTCCAGCTGTGGTGAAACTACAAATGCCATCATTCCTCTGCCTCTGGGAGTCATGCCTGTGGCTGTCAGGTTTGCAATGCCTCATGGGATTTGTAGTTCTGTAACAGCTGGAGTGCTGAGGTTGCCCCACCCCCATTATAAGGAATACAAAGTATTCACACGCAATCTCTCAAGTAGGACACTTGTGCTTTTTTTATTAGGCTTAAAATATAAACTTCTACAAATACACGATGCTAAACCAACAAATAAAACAGATCTAAAACGCAATGGTGACGTAAAGGAGTGCCAAGCCATATTTTCATAGGACTAAGACAACCTAATCCTGGTAAACAAAGGCGCGCACACACAATCTGGCAGGATGCAGTACAATATATCGTATAAGGGACGTTCATGCACATAGTCTAAATAAAAGAACAATGACCAAACCTTTAGTCGTCTTTTGGGTCACATGAGATTACTAATGTCCTCCTGCGACCCAAAACTCAGCATATAGAGGGCTATTGCCTGCTATATGCTGATGGTGCAGAGCACTGCAGCGGGGAAGGCTCCTAATAATGTTGGCATCAACCCGGCTACCTGACAGGTGACTCTCCCTCTCCAGAGCCAAAGCCAGCTGTGCCCGCCCACCCCCGTCTGTCCCTCCAATGAGCGCTGGATGATGAAGTGAGGGAGAGAGGAATCCCCGTGGGGAGCGGTGACTGATTGTCATTACTCTCTGCATGGAGAAGACAACGAGCTGAGCCATCAACGGTTTGTGATCGATCTATAGAGCCGATGTGTGGCAGCTTCAGTGTCACATGTTGTCTGAGGGGAGGAGTGCAATTCACTAAGGCCCCGTTCACACTGAGCGATTTATGATTTACTGAGCCTCATGAAACTTGTAGTTCCACAACAGCTTAAGTGCCAAGGTTGCCCACCCCTGAAATAGAAACATAGCTAGGCTAGTGCAGATTCAAAGTGGTGTCAGAGATGTAGGAGCTGAACTTACATGGAGTAACGAAGGATTTCATCTGCTTCCACAAAGAGAACTGAATAGGTCCCTTGAAGGTGCCCTGGCAAAGCTCCTTAGAGAGAAGGGTATTCCCAGAGGACGTGACATCTTTCTGCTGCTCCTGGCACCTGGTTATATAGAAGTGAGAGGCACATTACAAATCACACCCATCATTGTTTTGTTTATTTTGATCAAGAGGAGTTTAAAAAGGAAAAAAAAGACTTACTTGTCAATGAACGACTTGATGTCCTGCAGGAAATGAAGGGAAAAGAAAAAAAAAGTTATCATCAAGCATCATAATGGATATGGAATGCCCCAATGTTAAGTCGTGAAAGCTCCACTTACAGTCAGGAAAGAAATGGAGTCTGTGTCGTCCATTCGATCATTGGCCATTCCGATGGTCTGCTGGATGTTGTCTCGGTTCTCCTGCATCTTCACCAGGTTGCTCTCCATTTCCTTCAGCAGACTCTCGCCCTGTTCCTGGAGCTGCTCCAGCAATTTCTCCTCTCGCTCCTTCAAGAACTTGTGCAGCTTCTCGAACTCTGACACAATGTGGTCCCGGAATTCTTGTAGGTTGGTCTGGAGAGAAGAAAGTAGAGTGGGCGGATACCACCAGGTTAAGGAATGTGTAGAAATAGAGATTTTCAGAGAACGGTGCAGACGTGTAAACCACACACACTAAATGAGAGGACCAGGCGTTGGCTTACCTTGTGTTGTTCGATCTTCTCATTCTGCTGGTTGGTGAGTTGTTCAGTCACCTTCAGGGATTCTTCTAATGGAGACACTATGGCAGACAGCTCGGTCTGGAGAGAACACAAGGCTAACAAGGTTAATAACAGAGTACCCAACCACAATAGTTTAGGAGCAGCCATCATACTATGTCACTTACTCTGTACACGCCCACTGCGTCCAGGATGGGAAGGAAGTTGTGACTGGCGTGTTTCAGGGAGTCGCGACAGATGACGCAGCTGAGGGTCCCGTCATCCTTACAATAAAGCTTCAGCCTCTCGTCATGCTCAGGGCAGTTCTCGAAGGATCGGGTCTTTTCCTTCTCCGCTGGTTTGGCGGGAGTCAGCACAGAGGAACCGGTAGTCTTCTTCACCAGGTTAGCCAGGGCTCGGTTGGTAGTGTACCTCTTCTCGGTGATTTCCTCCTTGCAGTCGGGGCACGTGAAGGCATCGCGACCCTCCCAGGCCTTGTCGATGCAGTTACGGCAGAAGTTGTGGCCGCATTCGACCATGACGGGGTCCCTGAAGAGCTCGTTGCACAGCAGGCAGGTCAACTCCTCGGCAAAATCCCCAGACGCCATGACAGAGCTGCTGCGGGGAGCTTCGTGGACCTCCACCTTGGCTTTCTAGAAAGAAAGAGATTATGGCCAGGCAAATTTTGCTTCGCTATGTAATTGGGAAAGAAGTGCGGTGATAATGGTAGATTTCCATGTGTTTTTGTATAACAGAATAGGAGGAAGTTGTGGATCTACTGAACAGCATCTCACAGGAAAGAAACCTCCAGCTAAAAAGGAATTTAGGAGAAAGATTGGTTAAGTTACACCTCGTGCCCTAAAACACAATGCAATACTACGCAACGCTTTTTAGAATTTAAGTCTTACACAATTTCACCTCAAAGACTTATAATTAACGTATAATCAGAGCTGCAAACCCAATAAGGGTTCAAATTCCCCAAGTCAAAGCACAACCAATATGCCAAACCAACAAGAATGGCAAGAGTAATACAAAGCACCATGCCAAAGGGTAGCTCAGGTTTTTTTGGAGTACACATATATGTTCTGAATGGGAGGGGGGGGGCTAGCTACAGCACTTTAAAAATGTGGCCCTTACATAAAAAGTGCAACGATGATTTGCTTATATAGCTACAGGGTGACACATGTCAGATATAAACAACCAGACCAGGTCGTCTCATCTATGGTGAGCTCAAGCATTAAGCTGGCCACAACACTGGTGAAATATCGAGCAGTGTGGCCCTTTTCGGGATCCACCTGTGTGTCACCCGTAATTCAACATACTTTTGTCAAAAGCTGGTCAGGTAATTCTCAGCCGAACAGTACCAGCTCCAGTCACTGTTCGGGTCTCCTGACAGCGACACACCACCCGTAGGGCTGAATGAGAAAAAAAACCTCAGTGTATGGCCTTGCCTTAGTCTGTATTGATCAACCAAGAAGCCCAATAATATATATAAAATTCAATCCAAGACCTCGGTGGTAATGGAAACAAACATTTTAAGTCTGTTCCAGCCCTTGTCCACCCGCATGGGCATTCCGGCGTTAAAGTCGCCCACACAGGCCACAATGCAATTGCTGTACAATTTGCCCATCGCTCCACCCGCTGAGTGTTGCACCTCAGAACTCCCCGTTCACACCGACAGGATGCAACTTGTAAAAATCTGAAAGTCCAAGTAAGGGTGCATACGCGTTTCCCCCGTACACTCCTTCCTCTCCAAGCAAAATATTTCCTGCAGAGTTTAATTTAGTGATTCAGCGACGTCGACAAACAGCCAAACGTGTCAACCCGCCAGAAATTCCCGATTTGTAGAACGATACAGAATGAGGGTTGTCTGTAGAGAATGTGGAACACAAAAAGGTCCACCGTGAAGGTTTGTCCTGGGTGAGAATTAAGCGGTCATGTCATCACCCCAAATTCAACATAGGCTTCACTATATCATTACTATGGAAGTTCTCGGTCCAAAGTGCAGCACTCAGCAGTGTGATGGGGACTTGTTCCAGCAATGCATGTACAAAAATAATAGAAGGTATATACAAATCACGGCTGAAAGTATGACAGAATGATCAATAGAGAGCGCCGTGCTGTATAAGGATACATCTGTCCCTATAGAGAGCGCCGTGCTGTATAAGGATACATCTGTCCCTATAGAGAGCGCCGTGCTGTATAAGGATACATCCGTCCCTATAGAGAGTGCCGTGCTGTATAAGGATACATCTGTCCCTATAGAGAGCGCCGTGCTGTATAAGGATACATCCATCCCTAGAGAGCGCCGTGCTCTAAAAGGCGGGAGCTTGCTGTATAAGGATACATCTGTCCCTATAGAGAGCGCCGTGCTGTATAAGGATACATCCGTCCCTATAGAGAGTGCCGTGCTGTATAAGGATACATCCGTCCCTATAGAGAGTGCCGTGCTGTATAAGGATACATCTGTCCCTATAGAGAGCGCCGTGCTCTATAAGGATACATCTCCCTATATAGAGCGCCGTGCTGTATAAGGATACATCTGTCCCTATAGAGAGCGCCGTGCTGTATAAGGATACATCTGTCCCTATAGAGAGCGCCGTGCTGTATAAGGATACATCCATCCCTAGAGAGCGCCGTGCTGTAAAAGGATGGAGCTTTCCCTATAGAGAGTGCCATGCTGTATAAGGATACATCTATCCCTATAGAGAGCGCCGCCCTGTATAAGGATACATCTATCCCTATAGAGAGCGCCGTGCTGTATAAGGATACATCCATCCCTAGAGAGCGCCGTGCTGTATAAGGATACATCTATCCCTATAGAGAGCGCCGCCCTGTATAAGGATACATCTATCCCTATAGAGAGCGCCGTCCTGTATAAGGATACATCTATCCCTATAGAGAGCGCCGTCCTGTATAAGGATACATCTATCCCTATAGAGAGTGCCGCCCTGTATAAGGATGCATCCATCCCTATAGAGGGCGCCATGCTGTATAAGGATGCATCTATCCCTATAGAGGGCGCCGTGCTGTATAAGGATACATCTATCCCTATGGAGAGTGCCGTCCTGTATAAGGATGCATCCATCCCTATAGAGGGCGCCATGCCGTATAAGGATGCATCTATCCCTATAGAGCGCCGTGCTGTATAAGGAAGCATTACATGTGGCAGCTTGTCTCCTCCTCCTCCGGGACCAGGAAGATGCTCGACATTCTCTGAACTTCCTGGTCCTGGGGGAAGGTACTGATGGCAGAGGAGCCATAGGCTCCTTCTGCCATCAGTCAAGCAGTGACAGAGCAGGGGGGGTGGCTTCCCACACGCTACGTGTCCATGAACACACAAACCTAGGTGCAAGCAGACCTGGGATTGAGCACCAACGGGTGTCTTCACAGCGGCAAGCTAGCTGATGGAGACACCCGCACATGGAGGTGGTGGGCGGGGGTCTAGTGGTTCGGGGATAACTACATAACGAGGGAATAAGAAAGTGTAAAGACAAAAAAAAGGAATTAAAGTACCTCTGGCAAAAAAAAAGTTATGGTTTCACGTCACTTTAAGGATACATCTATCCCTATAGAGAGTAGTAAATGCATCTACACTGATAAAAAAATGTGCATGTACTAAAAGTTTGCATTGAGACTGGCAGAGCATCGCAACAGCCAGCAGGTGCAATGTGCAGGCTCTTGCAAAGCATGGACCCGGCCTCAGGTCCATGCAGACCCGGCTTGTGGAGGTGCCGCATAACTACTGTGGTAAAGGAGGAGGGATCACCGGCACGCTCTCTACAGTCTCATCTGCCGCGGTGGCATATTGGACTTGGCAACAATAAAGCCGGATCATGCACAGACATGTTAGATTGATACACACAGGATTCCCCTGGAGGATGCAGCACGCAGCTCATCCACAGCAGGGGCGGTGTGCGTTTTAGGATTGGGGTATTTGCCCACAGTTCACGCCGCACCCTAAACATGGGCGTAACCATGAAACATGGCCCAATTGGTGAACTATGCCTTTAAGACAAACCTGCATGAGCACAGCAAGCCACGTGGGCAGGTTTAGGGCGACACCTGTCCTCTGCTCGAATGATGGAACTGCACCGAATTCTAAAGTCCGGTATACACGGCAGGACGAACGAAGATAATAGTACAGATCCCCCCCCATCAACACTTACCAGCGCTGATAGAGGAGTCTCCCGCTGTTTCTTCTGTATGCTGACAGTGGTCGCCATCAGAACACTAACAGAGCCGGCAGCTCATTGGCTTCTAGCGCTGTTTTGGCCAACGATTTTTCCCGGCCGGCTCCTTCGATCAGCTGATCCGGGGAAGCCGATCGGAAAGGTGCCGACAGCGGCACCCGCACATCAAATTCCAGCCAAGAATCGGCCAAAATTCGAAGCGCGTATACCCGGCTTAGGCTTCTGCAGGCTAGTAGAGCTGCAATTCAAAGCAAAAGCTTTTGGAAACTTGACATGACCAATAGAAAATGATGCCACACATAAAAAAGAAGAATGGGGGGGGGGGGGGATATCCTGTGTACGTCTGTGTTCTAGGCATCAAGTAATCAAAAGATTAAAAAAGGAAGCCAATTTGTTTCACGTTTACAATGTCTCATTAGTGGGAAGACCCCCCCAATAGTTGTAAAGTGAAACAAATTTGCTGGTTTTTGCACAAATTGCAACTTTAAGGTACATAAACCAAAATGGTTTGATGTCGGGCACCCCGAAGAACACCAGCAGTCTCCAGAGATAAGGACGTGGCACCATTAAAGAACACGAACGCCTTTCGGGCCTGTGACCGGCGGCTACACTGACTGTAAAAACACAAAGAATGAGTTTCGATTTACACGGCGAGCGCCCGGCGGAGAGCTTTGGCGGCCTGCGTTACCTTCGCTTCGGGTT